AGATATAGATTTATTTTTGCGAAACATGTGTGGAGAAGTTAATTTTGATTTTTCAATTTCAACTGAGAAGGGTACCTATAAGTATCAGTATCATCTTATGAAATTTATATGATCTTATTTTTATATTAATCTCAGTTATGACATTTTTCCATAAAGGAAATATCAAAATTAATAATAAAATGAATGGAAATACAAATAACAGTCAAATGTAATAAATGTACATAAAATTATAGCATTTTATGTACACTTCTGATAAAATTTCATAAGAAAGGTACCTATAAATTAATTAGATACCTTTCTTATGAAATATGAAATTTAATCTCACTCTTAACAGTCTTATTTTAATTTCTTTATAATATATTTTCCATAAAGCATCGTAAACGTAAAGGTGAAAGCTAAGTACAAAAAAAAAAAAAAAAAATAGAGCAATGAAAGTTTTCCTTAAAAATAACGAGGTAAATAATTTGTTCACTGAAATGTAAATTATTTCACTTTTCTCCTTCCGTAAAACAATTTAGCCTCACGGAATCCGTCAATATGTCATTCATCACCTGTCAAGTGATGCGAAAGTTTATGACCAGCTGTGTTTTATTTTCAAATTACAACTTTTTGGCGTAGAAGCTAAGTTAAGCTTTGTTCAAAATATTTTAAATAAACATTATAATTTCTGATTTTCTTAAAATAAGTTTTGAAAAAATGATAATTGATATTTAAAAGAATTTCAAAGTGAGATTTTCAGTTTTTTTATAAAATGGAAAAAAATGGTCAATTTTGCTGACTCAAAAAAAAGAAAAAAAGAAAAAAAAAAGATTTTTAATGAAAATTTTGGACGTGCTAAAAAAATACCCCCCAAATACTTTGATCTTTCCTCTTAATAATAACAAACATTTAGACAATAAAATTTTGTTTTCGTCAAGTTTGTCGTCTTTTTCATCCTACTATGCTCTGTTTTAGCGATCTCATGAAGGTACCTATATATCATAAATTTCAGTTACATGTTAACTGAATTTGTGCACCTATTGTAAAACATTACAAACTTTTGTTCTGACCATATATAATAGTAATAAAAAGTGACAAGTTAGAGGAAAGACCGACAAAAAAGTGGGTTAACAACAATGTAAACCTCTTTTTTTGTTATTCTCTATGCTTGTTGTAACATGTCTGTTTTTATTGCTATTAATGAATTCTGTAAACTTGCTTATGAGGGAAATAGTGAAAAATCTCAGCTTGACCAAAAAGAGATTAAACAACAATAAAACTGATATTTAATCAAATTTTGGAAAGTGGTTCAGGAAAATAACTTTTTTTTTTTTTTTTTTTTTACAGGCTGTAATATAAACTGAAGTGCTAAAAAATTAGAGAAATCAGTACTCTAGATGGTTTTGTCTTCTCCAACTTGTGGTTAATAGATTATGCTGAATGAAATGTATGACAATGTAGCAGTGGCAGCTTTCAAATATGGACAGAACTTGACTCTGAAGAGAATATTTGTTGTGACACTGGAACACTGTCTCCTCAGGGACAAATGCCCAAACAACAGTGAATATATGAATTCCAAACAAACATTAATGATATGTAAAATTAAAGGCACCCACAGGTGATAAAAGAACATGACTGTCCACAACAAGGATGGTAAATACCCAACAAATGAAACATTGCATCAGACTCCATGCCATGCTGGTGCCATTCAATTCACTGTACAGTGTACACTAATTTCCATGGGATTTCATCAACCAGCAATGATATCATTATTGAAAACATTGTTCATCTTGATGAGAGTATATCAGCATTGGAGCATAGAAGATTAGTTATGGATCCAGCTTGTCATCAAAACATTATGAAAGTTGGTATCAGATCTGTAATGGTGTGTGGTGAATTCAGTTAGAGCTTGCAAGGTTCCCTTATGAAACTGAAGTTTGTTTCAGTAGATGTGACAGACATTGTTGCAGATTAGTTGTACCTTTTTATGCTCATCATGTTTCCCCAGTAGTAATGGTTTGTTCCAGCAAGATAACACAACCCTTCCAACCGTGTGCAGGTGGCATCCATGTATTTTATCGCCCCCTCCTCCATGCTCAACATCGCATACATGGTGTCATGGAACAGACCTCATTTAATTCACTACAACCACACACACAAACACAACACAGTTATAAGCAGTCCTGGAATATGCGGTGATAGATATACTCATGAAGTGACTGCAGCATCATGTAAACTCCATGTCATATTATTTAGCTACAATTATTTAGGTAAAAGAAGGAAGAACTATTCATTATTAGACAGATACTTTTAATTTTTGGGTACTAAAGTATACAGTGTATATCTTGTGTACTCATGCTGAGTCTGTTGCATTCATTTCATATGATTGCCCTTATGAGAAGCATGAATCCATCTCTTCTTCTCTGCTTATGAATAAATAGTAAAGAAGTCTGAACTTTTGAAAGTCTTGAAAGGGTAACCAGTCTAGAAAGAAAAGCTGAATTCATATCCCCTACCAACACATCATGGGCTTTTTTAAAAAAATAAAAATATACATTATGTTAGAGGAAAAAATAAAATTTGTCAAGAGTAAAGAAATAATTTTCTTTTAATGGTTTTTCTGCAAAGACAAATAGAAAGATACATTTCAAAGCAAACCTGGATTCTGTACATTAAGTGAAAATAAATCAATAAATCTCAAAGTGCTGATGTTGCTTTGGGTAGAAAAGATACTAGGTTCCTGTAATATTCTAACAGGTACAGAGATGATTGATTTAAGAGGGGACAGAGGCTGGCAGACTGAAAGGCTGTTTGGCTGGCAAGGCAAATGTATTGGTGTATGTTTGAGTTACAGGAACTGTTGTAAGTCAGTAATTCAAGTGGACAAACATTTTTTTTTTTATTTCATTAACATTTAAACCAGTACATTCTTTGAATATTATATACCTTATTTTGAATCAATTTAATAATTTGAGCCAAATAAACTAGAAAGAGAATCAATTCAATTCTTAACTATCAATTTCTTTGTATACTGCACACTGTTCTGTGACTTATATCATACTAGATAAAAAATAAACTCTACCAAACATGGGTAGTAATGCTACTCTTCACTACTAAAGAATTTCTCTCTCAGAAATTAGAGCATTAGAATAGAAAGCTTAACCTTAAAACTCAGTCCAGAGGTAAATGTGACTTGTTCTAACTTTAACAATAGCCATAAAACCTACAAGCAGTAGCTTGTATGCATATCTATAAAACCATTATTTCAATTAAAATTTAAAGAAAGACAACAAATATAAATGAAAATGTTAGTCCAAACAAATAACTGAGATTTTAATGTAAAAGATGAAGCTAGAAAAAAAGACATGAAAAAGCAGGTGACTCACCAATTCACTGACTTTCAAAATTTACAGATTTTTCTTTTCTTCTTTTAAATATTGAAAAATGAAACAGTAAGCTGTTCAGATTTGTAGAATTTAAAGAAATATGAGAAATGAATTGAAATGGGGGGAGTCTTGGTAGAAAGCTTGTAATTACTAGTCTTTTACATCAAAATACATGAATAATAAAACTAAAGATCATGTGGAAAAATGTTGGATCAACTCTTTCTGCTCATTATTTCTAATGATAAACTTATATTAATTGTTGACAAGTATTTTTTATATATCAAAAGATATGCCAAATGCCAAAAGATGGAATTGAGACTCTCTGGTGTCAAATTTACAAGCAGTTTGAAAATTATACTTGAAATAAAATCTTATATTCCAATATTAGAAATAAAATTTAAATTCAAGTGATTCATTATAAAGAGCAAGAATTTATGGAAAATAAATTAGCAAACAACTTGAAACTTTTAACAGAAAAATGAAGCAAAATGATATGGCCTAAGACCCTGTGCATTTGGTCATCAATTTTAAATAACCACATTGGGTGAAAGTAACTCTAAAAGTTAATCAATATTAGACCTAAAGACCAAATAAATATCACACAAGTAACTTTTTAAGAATTAACATCATTCTTTATGCTTCAATAATTGAAAGCAACTTCATTTTTAAAACAAAACTATGTTATTAATTCCAGCTTAGATTCAAATTAAACTGATAACCTTTGTAACATTTAATAATACAAAATCCTATACTTTCAATCATAATAAGAGACATTGATTAATTAATACCAGATAAAAAATAAAAAAAAAAAAGAGAGAGGGAGACTATGGAAAAGTAAAATTAACACATTTGGTTTTTTTTTCTCTAAGGTAGAATTTATGGATACAATAAATAAATTCAAAATGTCTAAAAAGAAATAAAAGTGATACTTCAATACAGAAAAACTGTAAATGACTAAAAAATACTTAGTAAATGTCTTTGCCAGTTTAAGCAGCTTTCAATAACTAACCAACTACAATATTTTAAAAAAGTTTTCAAACTTGACAAAGAGAAGATTGAATTGATTTCAGGCAATTATGTAAACAATATCAAGTTGAAGCAAACAATAGAAAAAAAAGGAGCACACCTAAAATTATATCCAATTTGTTACCAACCACATTCTGTAAGAAACATCAACTCGGAAAGTGGGTATCATTAACAAAATCATTTGTTAAAAATGTGTGCCTAGAAAAAAAATACGCACTGTATTCACGTCCAGTGAAACAGTTTCTATCAAAGTGACTAATGAGCATATGTATTAGATAATCTAGTTGTGACAGTAATGCTACCTTCTATTTCACAGTTTGCACTGTTAGTAAAGTTACTTTGATAGGAAAACTGAACTATACTGAACTGAACGTCAAGAATATAAATGAGCTTATAAGACAACAACAAAAAAAAAAACAGATAAGAGAACTTCAACACTTCAGAATCAGGAATAGTCTGAATAAAGAAATTGACTTAATTAAATTTTGTTTGAAAAGTCTTCATGGAATAACCAAAAGCAATTTGTAGAGAGAAAAATGAAAATTTAAATCAAAGCCATATTTTTTTCAAGTGGTATTTACTTAGTTCTTCACACTTGATAAGGTAGTCTCAACGCTCACCTGCTTTGAATGTGAGCTCATCTTGAGCAGTTTCATGATAATCATACAAAGCTCTCACAGGTACCCCAGGTCGGTTATCATCCACCAGTGTCATGTCTTCATCTTCCCAATCTTCCCCATCTGGATCACCAAATGGGTTTTTACCATCAGCTGCTTTAACCTCATCATAAGTAGTAGTAGTAGTAGTAGTAGTAGTGGTGGTGGTAGTAGAAGTGGTGGTAGCAGAAGTAGAATTGGTGTTTGTGGAGTCAGCATAGTGATCGTCAGCAGTCTCAGCACTGCAAAGTCAATAGAAATGGTCTGTGTGGTACTGAAGGAAGTAGGTATGGACAGGATAAAATATACGCACACACACACACACATTTATGGCATATATGAAGTGTCTTAAAGTGACACATGTGCATGCATGTGTGTGATGTGTGCATAAGTTTAAAAGGTTTCAAAATAAATAAAAGACATGCACATGCAGTGAAAGGATACAAGAAAAACAGGGAAAAATCAGGACTTTTTCATCATGCATTTAGGATGAATAGAAAAAGGAAATTTTCATCTACTGAAGCAGAAAAGACAAAAGGCGATAAAAATGCTGCCAAACAAAGCACACAGGATATTGAGAAGCTTCATAAAATAAAGATGTCTGAAAATGATTTGGAAAATGTGTAAAAGGTTTATAGACTTAATCCCACCCTCATCATCATCTCTAACATTTTCGTTTTAACCAAATAACAGACTTAATACTAAAATTCTCACTTTTCACAAAAAGTAGTAGCCTGCTTGGGAAGGGGAAGAAAAAAATTATATAGTTTCAAATACAGAAACAATACAAAAAGAACTCAATCTAAGCTGAAATTAGAAATACAAAAATCAATGATTAACACTTTTTCAAATGGCAACCTTGTGAAGTTTCAAAGGGTAACATCAGAAACAAAAGGTGGAGATGCAAACAGCTGAAGTTCAAAGTTTTGATTAATAACAAAAGTAGTTAGAAAGGGAGAAGAGTTAATCAAGACAGTTTGATTTTTCCACATTTAAAGTATTTTAAGAAGAATCAGCTATTCTTTAATATTAAAAACTTTCAAGACAGTTTTAAGATAAAAACAGATCAAGCAACATTTTTCAACTTTATTAAATCATCAGTATTTTTTATAAATTTTCTTCTTCAGCTTATTTGGATATGATACAATCAAAATGTTTGCACATCTTAATGAAAAGCAAGTTAATTAATCAATTCCCATTAAATTTCATAACTAAGCATTTTTTTTATTTTCCTAGTTATCTGTTTGTTCTGAAGAGTTCTTATTTTATTTAAAGTACATTGTTGTTTGAATCTTTCAAAACAGTATTTCATGAGATTGCAAAGAAAGAAAAAAATTTAATTTCATTCATAAATTATACTGCATATTTTAGGTTATGTAATTTTACCAATAAAAAATTAATGGTTTCTTTCAGAATTCTTTAACAATGCAAGATTTAAGAATGTGGCTCAGTGTATTTAAAATTTTAGCCAAAATCTACTACTAGACACACATGCATGAAAACGTCACTACATTGCATCACATATTGTTATTGACTGGGTTAAAGGGAAACATTATTGTATCCCATTTCAGGTTATCTTAATTCTGTTACTTCATTATTTAATAACCATCATCTTCTGGTGGTCACTATAAGACAGTATATTCATTAACGAAACAAATAAATGTATGTGTTAATACCGAAAATAAATAAATAAAATAACTTTACACATTACTAAATTTTTTTTCAAATTTACTTAAAGGCTAAAAAATTGTTCTAGCAAGCTGAAAAAGTAGAGGAAGGGGTGGATGTTTTATACTATTTCTGGCAGACATTTTGTAATTCCCAAATTATGTGTATTGTCTCACATTATTATCTCATTATTAATTCTTGCAACACAATTTGTAAGGAAAAAGTATATGTATGTGTAAAAGTTTGGATATAAATAAAATATATCTTGTTATATCTCATAAGTTGTTTTATATATATATATATATATATATATATATATATATCTCATCTATTTCATTGTTATATATATATATATATATATATTATATAATCATCTATTTCATTAATTGTTATATAACACACTCACACTCAGTCAAATTGAAAAAAAATGACCAGTGAAACAAAAGAACAATTATGATACACAGTAAATAGTTTTTGTTTTAACTGTAACTCATGTTTAAAAAGTTTGCTGTGAAATAATAACACTTCTAAATTTATTGATGTCTCAGGATAAAATGAAAACATTTTTTTAAACTCCATGATTAATAAATGAGAAATAAAAACAATATTAAGTCATTAAAATTCATTCACAAAAATAAAGATATCAAGGAAGAAAAACAAGTTAGTGTGTGTTCAAAGATACAAATAATCAACAAAAAAAAAGCATGTATTTACAAAGCCAAGATTTTTTAAAAGAAAAAACAAAAACAAACTATTTTCATGCAGTAAAAAGGTAGTCTATAAAAAGAAGACATGCAACAATAGTAGCAGTAGTAGTAACAGCAAAAACATCACTGGTACTGCAGGGTAGGGAGAGCAAAATATAGTGTCTTGTTGGCTATCAACAGATTAGACAGGGTCACTTACAGCTACTTATCTTTTAGAATCAATACCCTATTGGTCAGTTGATAAAAGCATATAAACACTCCAAAGTGACCAAACAAAACCAAGACTATAAAGTTACAAAAGATATTGTAAAAAGATGACAAATATTGAAAGAGAAAAACAGACGCATATCAAAAGTAATAAAAAAAGAAATAACAAAACTCTCAAGGCTGTTCCTATGCTAGATGACTAGCTTCAACAAAGTATCATCTTCATTGTTAGTACAGATTCTTTTACATCATCCTTGTTTACAGTTTATGTAAGGGGAAAGATAACTTCCATCAGTTATATAAGAACAAGCTCTATTTATCTGGAAGTTGAAAGTGATATTGAAATATACTGTGGATGGGAGGGGTAAGTCAGCAAAATCCTCCCTCCCTATTTACCAACCTCCCCACAAGGCAATTTGTCACTATGACGTTTCATCTAACCTGTTAACCATATGCCTATGGAATATGCTATTATTATTAAATTATTTTTCTTTACATTATCTAGGAAATAAAACGTCTTGTTTATGTAACTAATATTACAATATGAACAAAATTTATAGTAGATGACAAATATGTACAACAAAAAAAAATAATTACTAATCAGAGAATTATCAAATGATATAAAGTAATTAATCATAGAAAATATTTACAAAGAGGGAAATTTTTAATTAATTTAATAAAAAAAATTTAAATTTTCAAGATGTCTTTTATAAGAATACTATTCTGTTCTAAAATATTTTGCCTGACAATTTCAGCACTTGGCAAAATATGTGAGAAAACATTTTCAAATGTAAAGCATGCTAAATCTGTATATAGGTTGGTCACAATTGACCATTCATTTATGATAGGAAGTTCAAATTCTGAATCACAGTTGAACTTAGTTTTATCTTAGAAAAGATTTTTTTCATCACTGATGCTTCATACCATTAAAAGAATTGTATTAAACTTTATGCATATTCATAATAGGAGATAATACTTAAAATTTTAAAAAATACTGCCAATTTGGTCCATTTACCAAAATGTTTGCCAACCTTTGAAGTAGAAAAATATATATGAAAATCTCATGAGTGCTCTTGAAAGCTTTAAGTTACAATAAGAAACTGTACTGATAAATAAACTCAATGCCCTATAGGTACATAATAGATTGTAAATACATGGCATACAAGAACTTACATACATACAAAAAGAAAAAGCTCAAAAAAATTAAGACTTGTACCTCACCTAACTCCATAATACAATAATATAGAATGTAAATGGGAGTCTTATATGCCATGAAATATGGCACATTTTACATTAAATTTATTTGAAGAATAGCAACATACACAAATGATGTTACTATTTGGATTTAAAACGGAAACAATATATGTCATTTAAAGACTAAAAGCAGAAAGCCAGGATTTAATCCATTTTTTTCACTTCACAGCCTAAGGATTTTCTTTGCATATTCTGGTTGTTTTTTTCTCTTTCAAGAATCAGTGGTGACCAGACTACAAAATCAAGGAGGGTTATTGCAAGGAATTTGACACACCTGGGACTAGTGCAGACATATTGTGAAGTGAACTAGTGATTTTTACAGGTGTTTATCAGTTGTCAGTGTAAGCACTTATACCTACCTTTGTGTTGATCAATCAGAGAAGTCTGACAGGGATTCAGTGTCAACACTGCGGTAGTATGCATCATCTGAGTGAAGAGTATCACTTCTTATATTGGATGGAAGGTTGTTATTGATTAGAGAGCTTTTTTTCTGATTCAAATATGGAGAAGAGCTCTGCTGATTGTCCATGTGATGATGGGAAGTGGCATTACCATTCTTAACCGCAAGCATTCCCTTACGTCCTGACATATTTTGGTTATTAGTTTGGCCTAGGTTCCTATTGCCTCCAGCAGGCTTCCCAAGAATCAAATCTCTGATTTCTTTGTCAAAATTTTCAGGAATACCCCTCCGAGATTTCTGTAATTGACCAGAAGTTGAACTGCGTCTCCGCATATCTGGTGAGGGTGAGTCATCATATTCATCAACTTGAATCACAGGCCCTGAACGATTACTTCTTGGAGACTCAGTATGCAATGGTCTCATCATAGGATTGGTGGGTCCTAACCTTGGTTCATTACCTAAAGATGCACGTGGTCCTGTACCTGGTAGACCTCTAGGAGAAGGTGCTCCAGGAACTCGAGGTACCATACCTGTTCCAGGACCCATATCAGAGCCCAAGTTTGGTGGACTCAAACCACGAGGACCCATCCCAGATAAACCCACATCAAGCCCTTGTGGACCCATTCCAGACGGGCCCACATGAGGACCTTGTGGACCCATTCCAGGCGGACCCATTCCAGGCGGACCCATATGAGGACCTTGTGGACCCATCCCAGGCGGGCCCATATGAGGACCTTGTGGACCCATCCCAGGCGGGCCCATATGAGGACCTTGTGGACCCATCCCAGGCGGGCCCATATGAGGACCTTGTGGACCCATACCTGGACCCCGTGGGCCCATGCCTGGTGGTCCAACACCAGCGCCCCGTGGACCCATGCCTGGCGGTCCAACACCAGCGCCCCGTGGACCCATGCCTGGCGGTCCAACACCAGCGCCCCGTGGACCCATGCCTGGCAGTCCAACACCAGCGCCCCGTGGACCCATGCCTGGCAGTCCAACACCAGCGCCCCGTGGACCCATGCCTGATGGCCCAACACCAGGCCCCCGTGGACCCATGCCTGGTGGCCCAACACCAGGCCCCTGTGGACCCATGCCTGGTGGCCCTCGTGGGCCCATACCTGATGGCCCTCGTGGGCCCATACCTGATGGTCCAACATTAAGTGATGACATTCCCAGTCCTTGTGGCCCCTGGCCTGGGCCTTGTATTCCAGATCCTCCTGTTGGCTTTGATGGAGATGGTATTCTGGCTGAGCTATTAGTCAATAAATGAAGGTACAAATTTGAGGTTGGCAACTTATTGAGAAAAATCTAACATTTAGTAGTAATAATTAAAAAAAATTAACTTTTCAAGTAAAACAAAACTTAAGTTCATTAGTGGTATATAAAAGAGAAATGTCTTACAATAAAAAAAAGATAAAATTGGCTGGATGTAGAAAAAACTTTCACCATCAACTATTTTAGCATTTGAGATTAAAAAAAATGAATAATAATAATGATATTAAAATTGGACTTAAACTTAACCATAAAATTCAGGAAAATCATTAGTTCATCCATTGTTCCTTTTAATAGGAAAAATAATTTTTAAATCCTCTTACATTATTACTACAGTACAAATTAAATTTATGCACCAATTATTAATATTAGGTTGTCCCAAAAGTTCGTAAACACTTGCGAAAAATTGAATTTTTATGCAATTTTTAATTGTTTTTTACTTTATCGAGAATTGGCTGGTGAGCTTGGGTTGGCAAATCGACAATTCACCCGACACTTGAAACAACTTGATTTTGTTCACAAAAAGCCGCGGCCAAGATCCGCCTTGAACTCACGGAAGCACAAGCCAACAGGCGAGTTGAAATTTGCCGTCAATTGCTCAGCAATCCATTGGACGAGTGTTTTTGGGCGCATGGTGACATCGGACAAGAAATGGGTCTATCTGGTCCAGCATAATCGAGACAAGCGATGGGTTCAGAAAGAGGCACCGTCGGCTCCAAAACAAGATTGATTCGGCAAGAAAGTTATGTTGTGCGTTTGGTGGAACTTTGAAGGAATCGTGCATTTTTGAGTTGGTTCGAATGGTGCGTGCCATCAGTGCGAACTTTACTGTCAGCAACTAGAGTGGGTCTCTGAAAAGTTGAAGCAAAAGTACCCAGCACTGATCAACCAAAACGCACTTTGATGCAACAGGACAATGCCAAGCCACACACCACCAGGAAGACCAAAGACAAGTTTGAAGAGCTGGGCGGGCGTTGAGGTTCTGCCACATCCAGCCTACAGTCTTGACTGTGCTCCATCAGATTACGGCTTTTTCCGCTCAATGCAACACTTTCTGAATGGCGCCGATTAGACTTCGTTTGATGAAGTTGAGGAAGCGTGTCAAAATTCTTTGATTGAAGCTGGCTGAATGGTACTTTCACCAGATCCGGCTTGCAGATCGATGGCAGAAAGTCTTGGAAAATGATGGTCTTTATTTTGAGGAATAATTTTTGTTGTTTTTGTTATTACTTGGCGAGTAAAATTTCAATTTTTTGCAAGTGTTTACGAACTTTTGGGACAACCTAATAGTAAAATTGAAACATATCTACAAGGTTTTTCTCATCAACAGTGTTTTTATAAATTGCTAAAAGCAGAGAATCATAAGTATTAATGATTTTAGCAATAAATATGTTTAGTCTTGGAGATCAAGAACAAAAGTGACATTAAACAAGAAAAGAAGTAGGACAGAGGTAGAGCTTTGTCTCAAGATTCATTCTTTTAGCACTGAGACCAAGAATGCTAGTTAAAAATCATAGTAACACAATGTATTTGTATGTAGAAAAGAAAGTTTCAAAGATTGAAAGAAATGGATGAATTTTTAAGAATGTTAAAGCTACACAGAAATAGAGCAGCAATGACAATTGTTATAAGATTAATAAATGAAGATGAGAATCTGTATAGGAACAGTTGTGAGCAGTTGCTTCAGGCCAACATGCTAGAAATATTTTAGTAATAGAATTATGTACTCTAAACTGCAAACCTATCATTACTTTTTCTTTTGCGATGCATCTTTCACCAAATGTTTAGCCTCACTATCCAGGTCTTCTTCATCAGATTCTTCTCCAAAAGGATTGAGACTTTCATCATAGCCATCTGGCCTATAAAAGTTACGTAAACCATAACACTGTCCAATTATGTGAACTAACATAATTGATTTAATTATTTGTATCTTGTGTCCAACTACAAAATAGTACATAAAACAATTGCACAGGGGAAAAAATAAAAAATAAATTAAAGTTAAAAATTTAAAAAAAAAAACAGAGAAAAGGCAAAAACTGATACCAATTAAATTGTAATGAATTTTATAAAATTATGTAAGAAAACACTTTAAAAATATTCAATCATTTATAAAATTAGTATTTAACTTATTGATATAAAATAATAAATATCAACTATTCAAAAATTTATTACATATTGATTTATTCCAACTGATGCCCTCATTTTGATTATTATAGTTGACACATTTCAGTCATTGTAGCATCTGGAATTCTTCAGGTACTTATCATATTTCACAACCTTCTAGGCATTTTGAACTGAACCTTTTATGCTAAACTGCTCTCAGTTAGAAGATAGTTAGATATTAGTTCATTTATACTTGTTGTGCCATCTCTGCCCATTCTACTGAACCAGAGTATATGGATTTCAGTGTAAGAAGACTAGAGGCTACAACAACTGAAACATTATGATGACACCAGCTTGAATAAATCAGTAAGAAATTCAAATAAAATGTTTGATAAGATTTTTCAGTAACAGATTATATTAAAAATGTACAGGCAAATCCCACTATATCAATGTGAAATTCATTTAACAGTTTGGAAAACAGATGATCTCCTGTTTTACATGTAATTCTTCAATTATCATGAGATCTTTGTGGACCTTTCTGGAAAACTCAAATTCACTTACCATGAGATCTTTTCTATATAGATATGTGTTATTTTTTATTGTCCCTCCATCCCCATTTGTAACTTAATTCAATTGACATGACCTGTCACACAACTGAAAATCAAATTAGTTTTTAATAAAATCAGAGTTAAAGAAAATATACACTTAGGTAATTATTACAAAGTTACTGCTTATTTTTCTTTATAAGAGAACTCTAACATAGACAACTTTTATCACAGACATGGGCACCTCGAGGTGGTGTAATGGTTAGCAAGCTTGTCTCGCTAGAACAATTACAGCTGAGTAGTGAGTTTGATTCTCACTGGGTGCCCCCTAATTTCGGCCTTGTGCCACATCTAGGCTATGCTTGGAAAATTACTTTATCACAGACTTGTAATGACAGACAACATATATGCTACATAAAATAAAAAAAAATACATATAATTGGTCTTTTGTATCCACTGTAGATCAAAAATTTTTGGGAAAAAAATATATTTAAAAAGCAAATCCTGAATTTGTTTTACACTATTTTGCAGTCACTCTTGCATTCATCCCATATTTTGCTTCCAACCCCATCTTTTTCTCTAAAATTTAGAATGTAAATTTTAAAAAAATAAAATAAAAACTGTCCTTTATTAAATAGACTTTTTTTCAATTAGTTGATTTTTAAAATAGATGTTTTTGTCTAAAAATTTTCCAATGCAAATTATAGTTTTTTTTTGTTTACAGGTAAAAAAGCTTTTTACACTAACACTTTCTACAAATATTTTCAGTTTTACAATGTACACAATTTTTATATCATAATTTTCTCATTTTTCTTCTTACTAATGCCAGAAAGATTGATATTTACTTTCATAAATTTTTTTTCTTAAGGTATCAATTTCCTACCAAAATCTTCTCTATACAGCCACAATGTAAAAACTATTTACATAATATTTACACTTTGTTAGATATCATGTCGATTGATTGATTTGTTTTTTATGGCTTATTAACCATTTTGAGGTTATTTAAAGCTGAAACATATTTCAACAATTTTTGGGAGATAATGATTTTCTGATATGTTTTACTATTTAACCTATAGCCGTGGGGTGTAGAGGTGGATTCATACTTTATCCCAGAGTATTTGCACATGTGAATATAACAAATCTGACTGGGATTTGAACTTGGCCCTCCAGTTTCTCATTTCAAGCCTTTATTAATTACATCACTCACACATCCAAGCTTGCAGCACCTGGTATTCCCATATGGTCACCCACCTAAGCACTGACCAAGTTCAATGTTGCTTAAGTTTGGTGATCAGACAAGAACTGGAGTTTCAACATGATATGGCCGTAAGCCTAAATATTATAAATAATCTAGAGATAATTTAAAATAAAGATGTGCATAGGTTATAGGCAAATATGCTATTTTATATAAAGGACTTTAACAAATCCATGGATTTTTGTCATGGAATCAATCGAATCATGCAGATTCTGAATTGTACTTCTCAATTTGAAACTAATGACTGCAACTAAATCCATGTATATGACCTTAATATTTTGAATAATTTTCAGTTTTGAGTTCTTAGAAAATTAAAACTACTTTTATTTTCATTATTACCCAGTTACTGTTTGTGTCAAAGCTAGGAAGGAAGCTTGGTTTCTTTAACAGATTCTTTAAAGACTTTATAACCAGAAATAAAAAGAATTCATTGTAATTATTCTTATAAATTGAGTTCATCTTACATGAGAAAAATTGGGACAAATTAATTGCATAAAGGAGGATTTGCCTGTATCTACAATAATCAACATATACAATAATAATTAAAGCATATTCATTTATATAAAATAAAAAAAAGAAAAATTAAAAAAATAGACACTGTCAAAGCCATCAGAATCAGGACCTAAGAGAAGATAATAAAAATACTGTAAATTAGTAGAAAAACTAGAAATAATTCTTTTCAATATATATTTAAATTGATTATTAATTCAGAATATGGGTAAATAGAAAATATGAATTGCTATCAACAAGGGAGGAAATAGAGCTGAAAGTTGGCAGCCAGATTCATAGCTGATAAAATTTTTCATGGAAAGAAAGAAAGCCAAAGACTAATAATCTTACTTAAAGACAAATGTCAAGAAATTTTAAAGAGACTGAAGAGGTAAGAATGAATTTAAACAAGCAAAAGAACCTATAAGCATAATTAGTAGAGACAGAAATTTTATATACTTAGATTATATGCAAATTTTTTTTTAAGTAAAAAAAAAAAAAAAAAAAAAAAAAAAAAAGAAATAGTAGATCCAAATAAATTTCAACTTAACTTGCCCAATTGATGAATACAAGTGATAGAAAATGTCTTCCATAAATTAAGAACTTATCTAAAGAAAGCTTTTGATACTTAGCTAAACCACACCTAGGATCAAGTATAAACAAATGCAGTGGATTTTTAAGAAAAATTAACACTTTAAGTTCAAATCATTCAAATATGAAGTATTGTCTATAGACAACCCAGTTTCTATGCACTAAATGAAACTGACTATTTGTTTTTGAACTATTGCAAATTAAAATAATATTTTAAAAGCAAGTTTTCTTAGCCAATATATAAAATTTTGAAGTAATATTTCTCTCAGCTAGTTATTGTGCATAAAAGTATTATGGCTAAATAGCATAATACTTTTATATACAATATTTCTACTCTCATTATCTTTTAGTTAAAAAAAAAATCCTCACATCTTACTTGTTATACACCACTTTGTGATAATTTTCTTTAAAAGTAATGGAGTCAAATATCTATACCATATGTATTTGAAGCATATATTTTTATAAAATATAGAAAGAAAAATGCTTCCATCTCAATTCCTCAATGCTGCCAATGAATAAATTGATAACATCTTTCAAATTCCTTTTTTTTTTTATCTTTTTATAAATTTGAAACATACAAAACATAAAACCGAACTTGTCTGATGTATTCATGAAAGATATTATCCACAATAGTAATTGGAACAGAAAATAGAATTACATGACTAAATAAAGCTAAACATTGTCATTTAACCTTAATGTAGACAAATTTAGTCAAGTCACTAGCAAACTAATTTTTTTTACATTTTATCAAAGAAATACTATCACTTGATTCTATGATTATTTCTTATGTTTGTGTTCAAATAAACCATTTGTTTAAATACAAAGTAGCATTTTTATTAGGATAGAATTCCACTTGCAAAAGATTTTATAAACATTTAGGGAAAAAGTTAGAGTGCAGTACATCAGATTCAATTTGTTTAAGTTTTAAGAATGGGAGAAATGATTTAGAAAAAGTTTATCATTGTAATCGATAAATGAGTATGGAGTCACAAAGTTTACAGAAAAAAAATTTTTTTTGAACTAAAAATAATAAGATGAAGAGAGATAATAAAAAACAGGAATTTTCAGGGTACAAATTTATTTTTCTAGCAACATTTATAAAATTTTAAAATTAACATTAAATGTCAATTTTTCTAAATATTCTATATAGCAATTTTACTTTTAGAGCAAAAGGAACAGAATTTCTCAAAACTGCTGAATAAAATCTTTTGATATGAAAATACAGTAAGAACAAGTCTTATTGTTATTTTAATACAAGTGACTACACAAAATTAAAAAAAAAATTATACTGCCTTTAAAAAATAAAAAAATAAATAAATAAAAAATCTATATTTTTTTCTTTCAATTAAAAATTGAAGTGTCCTATGTTATGGAAAATGCCATAATAAAAAGGTTAAAGTAAAATATCCATTTTGATAATGCAGAAAAAAAAAAAAATTTCTAAATCTTTTAATTTTTTTTTTACTTTCATAGATGCATTGACTACAATGAACAGAAAGCATCAAAGACTTTTGAAGGTAGCCTGGACAAGTTTAAGGTCCTACTAATCATTTTTAAATAAATACATCACAGTATCCTCTTGAGGAAAAGTATTACACAAACTGTATCTTACACTTGTCTATCAATATATGCTTATTGCCAGTCAACTGACTAGTTCTGGTGCTGTCATCATCTGATGAGTATCTTCACCTATGTTATACTAGCCTTTTCAAATAATTTACAAAAGTAAACCTAAGTGTGCTTAGAGTCTATGATCCTGGATAAAGCTAGATAAATACATTTAAAAAAAAAAAAAGTATAAAAACTGGTTCAGAAATAAAAATTAAGAGGAAGAAAAAAGATGATTGTTACATGCAAAGTTATAAGTTTGAAAGTCTGAATAAAAGAAAATGCAACAAACTGAAAGGAAAGCAAAAGAAAAGATATAAAATGAGCAAACTAAAAACAGAGAAAAATAGAAACTTACAAAATTAGCAATGTCAAATGAATTTGTAAATTTAGCAGGATACAGTATAAAGATTATCAAATAAAAGAGTGGGCATTATATCTCAGATGTTTTGCCATCTCTCACCTTCACTGAAATTCATTATACCTAATATTCTGAATCCTTTTTGATAATATTTAGAATAATACTGTCAAGCATTCTAATAAATTATTAATATCTGGTCTTCAACCACAAACACAAATAATACAAAATTAGTTGCACTAAGTGACCGTGGACAGATTTGATGGTCTAAATCCTGCTGTTTGTTATTGATCTGAATATACAAGTTGAACAACCAAATGATATCAAGCAAGAAAAATAAAGCAATGTGCTTATCAAATTAAACATTTATAATTATTCTTATATAAATTTGGCAAAAATATATAACAATCAAATTGAAGGCTCTATGAATTTTACAGTCATATGAAATTGTAACTGTGACTATAAATTTCACACATTGCATTCAAATGGTAATAAGTATACATTTACGCATATGCATACAAATGGTATGAAGCCATGATATATGAGTTAACCATTTGTTTAAATGCAAAGTAGCATTTTTATTAGGATAGAATTCCACTTGCAAAATATTTTATAAAATTTTATGGAAAAAGAGTTTACTACATCAGATATTGAATCTGATGTACTAAACTCTTGTTTAAATTTTAAGAATAGGAGAAATGTTTTCTCTTTCTCTAGTTTAGAAAGAAAAAAAATGTTTGAACTAATAAATAAATAAGATGAATAAAGACAATAAAAACAGGTATTTTAAAGGGGCAAAATCATTTTTCTAGCAACATTTATAAAATTTAAAAATTAACATTAAAACTTCAGGATGTCTGGCTATATATTCTTTTGCAAATAAGACTTTTTTTTTTTTTTACAGCATTAATATTTTTTTTTCAAAGTTAAAAAAATACATGAAAACCTAAAATTGCCAGGAGTTGATATTTCATTGAAATCAAATATGGTTATCAAATAGGACTCCTCTAGCCTGGCAAATTGCAACAATTGCAGTAACTTTACAAGTGGCCAGAAGATCCTTGAAAAGATGTTGAGTCATACCATCTGGATAGCAGTATACAGCTCCTTGATATTTTTAAATGTAGGATCCTGAATGTGAATAAACCTCCTCTGTCATGTACTATAAATGTTCAATTGGGTTTATATCAGGCAAACAGTGGCCACTTGAAAGTCTCTAAACCAACAGAGCATATTGTGCCTGATGACTCAATGCATTATCCTGCTAGAATAACCCATTGGGTTACACAGTTCATGAATGGGTGCAAATAGTCATGAAACATTGCAATAGCCTCCAGTCATGTTTAGGCAAACCAGTAGACCCAAACATGCCATATGAATACAACCCACCTATTACTGAACCACCACCAACCTGTAGAGTGCCTTATTGACAAGTGGTGTTCATGGCCTTTGGTCTGTGCATTATGCCCAAACACTACCATCAGTCAGAAACAACCTGTAACTGTGACTCATAACATCACATGTTGTTAGTCCCCTCAGGATTCAATTAGCAACATCATAAATCCATGTTAAGTATTATGTCTGTTGTCATTGTGTTAACAGGAACACCTTGATAGGTCTTATTCTCCCATATCCCATGAAAGCTAAAGAATGCTGAAATAAGTTGGACAGCTGATACAGGCATCTGGTACCTCCTTCATAAGAATGTAGATTTGATTTGAGCCAGGTAAGGTCTCATCTGTCTGGTACTCACTATCATAGCATGTTCAAACTCCAATAATTCATGCCACAGCAGCCAAGCCAATGTTCATACTGATACACCAGATACCAGAACATAGCTGACATAGGCCTGGGAAATTCCAATAACTAAGTATGGAGGCACTATTACTTTTATATACTGCTATCTCATGACTGTTGGCATATCAGTGTAGTCACAATGAGGCAGCATACATCTGTCCATATCTTTTCAGACTTTCTCAACAATACAAAAATATTACAGGCTGAATCTTCTGAATCTTTCTTAGACATT